CGTCTAAACACTGGTTCTCTTACGATTTCAAGCAGTTACCTAGATCAGTGACCGGTCGGTAATATCAGGTTCTGTAAGCTTGGATGTGTGTATTATGTAATGGATAACAGCTCAGAATTAGAAATAAGTTCCAATTCTAGTCGGGTTCCTTATATTCATTTACTTGAAAATAGCAGTAGCTATGGTTTCGGCTCTTATCCATCTAGCTATAGGTTAATTAGTTGGACTTGTATCGGTAAATCGTTATTATATTCAAAATGAATTTATTTACATTCTCAAATATTTTCTGCCTTTAGATATTCTGCAAATGGTTGATAAGCCATACGAAAAACAAATCGATCTATGAACTAAATAAACAATAATACACATTTTATTCATTCCCTTTATTAATATTTTAGAACAAATTAATAACAGTTTTATCCAGCTATGTTCGACCATTGTTCAGAGAACTTTCTAATTACCAACACATTGAATAACCAATTTTCTCATCAGAAACATCACTTGGGGACATTTACTGATTTCATGAAAATTTAATTTTTAAAGGAAAATATTAGGAGACCAAAATAAACAGAAATCGAAAAAGTTGATGTATAGTTTTATTAAATGCCAGCATCCCAAACAAATTCATAATGATTTTTTCGGTCGAGCGTTTTCCTTATAGAAGATTTCGTTCTGTTATTTAAGTGATACTAGATGGAAATTTAAGTCGCTAGAAATCATTCGTATGGTTTAGAGAGGCTAATCTCTTTGCTCATTAAAAATCGTGACTTCAGTCCATACTCAATGTCGTATACAACATTCAACATCACATAACACAGGTGTTCTTCCGTAGCCCATTAATTTCCTTAGTGCACCACAAGAGGCTCAGTCCTAACAGCAGTAGTGAACCTTGAATAGTTTGATGGTGACACAAACCTTTTCAAGATGGATTTTTATTCGGTATTTTCATATTCTGTTTTTCTTGTACTTCAAGATAAGAGAACACAGTGTTCCCTGCTGTTTAACCCATAGATAGAGGACGCTCGAGCCATGCGTCTTCCAAAGAAATTAAAGTAATGCAAACGAAACAGAATCAAGCAAAATTTTTAAAAAAAATTCGCTGGACATAATTTAGAGCCATCGATCATTTACCAGGACGTCCAGCCAGTCCACATTGCGGCCATCTTAATATTTTCATGCAACCAACTTCAGCCAAAAATCTTTAGGTATATTTTCATTTACTTTTGTAGCGTATGTCGGACAAAAATATTCTAGTAGGTTCACTTCTCCATTGCTCTAAACATGAAGGTGGGAATATAGTTTTCTGAGACACACCGGCTGTTGTGTGGGGCAAGAGACACAGCTAAATATATATATATATATATATATATATATATATATATATATATATATATATATATAAATATATATATATATATATAGCTAATCTAGAAAACTGTTACGCACGGGGTAGTATATTCTGCTCTGGACATTTTTTTCATGCACGAAAACATCAAAACTAGTTAAAGAAATGGCGTGATTTCTTCCCATTTAAATACCATTCTTAGAATAAAGTCAAGTACCATGAAAACAGACAATATTATAAAATGAAAATAATGTCAAAAATCACATTAAATGTTAAATGTTATTAAACTATCTTATTTGATATTCACAAAATTTTAAACATTTTAAATAAAGTATACTTGAGACCCGGTGAACATAACTAAATTTCGAAATTGTCCCATGAACGTTGGAAAATCATGTACAATAGGGTTGACCGGGTTCGATAATTACGTATGCATCCAGATGACTTGATTTCGCTGCGTCGAGGGCTTCCGTCACTGTAGCCAGCTGGCAAGACAGATGCATGTGTGATAGAATCAACGCCTGGATGTCCCCGAGAAATGTGAATGCCTTCAGGTTGGATGACATCGGATGTGATTTGAGCCTTTCCGTCAGTTTCGACAATAGGCTACGCATGACTGAATAACACTCCAGGTTTCAACCCAGATATATGGCGTGTGCTTATCAGTTGCTCAACGACACACATTGATCATGGGAATGATCATGATGATGATGATAATGATGACAATATTGATGACATGCATAACTATTATCACTCTACTTATTCGCAGACAATTTGCTGTTATTCGGCAGATGATGTGTTATCATTTACTAGGCCTAGTATCGTTTGGAACAAGGCCACGTGTATGGAGGATTCAGTGATGACTTAACACATTTCAGCCTGAAATTATTCACTGAGCATAGATCGCTAAAACTAATCTACCCAGCCGTAAAACTTTGTTATTTCTAAAGAATAGTGTTGTTTGGTCAAATTCAACACATATGAGCTTAAACAGAAATAATAGTCAAACAGATGAAGACGTCAATTATTGTTCATCCTAGTTCTCCCTTAGCTGACTTTGACACAAGACCAAAAGAACATGGCTGAAAAAGAGAATTGAGTTCATTGCTTTATATCATTTTTCTACAAAACAAACTTATTAACCGTCGAGTGTCTAGAAGATACTTATTACAGCTTCTACAAATTGTCAATACCACTGCTAAATTGGAGCCACCATTATGGTGAATACTAGAAATTTGCATATAATCGGACCAGTTTGTATCTATAGACGGACATAAAAGAAAATGTTTCTACATTGAAAGTCTTTATATCTATTCGAGGTTCTATTTCACGAAACGCTGGTTTAAGACTGCTTACAAGATGGCTGCGACAACAATACGGCGGCTGATAATATAAATAGTTATGATATGGCAAAATGTGTTTACTTTTCTTCTCATATAGTGAATATATCATTTTCGTCAATTCTAAAGATAAACTGATACAAACAGGTTTTAGCCGACCTCGTGACGAGAGAGTTTTCCAATCAGACTGTCCAATGATAATACATTATGTTTGACTGATCAACTTTGTTTCTAATACAAATATTATACTTTCTTTCGAATTAGTGCTATAGAAAGCAATTACGCTCTTTCGAAAACAACCACATACGGGAACTAAGTTATACAACCATACGCATACAAATAAAATGAACAGTCTTATATTTGGGTAAGTATACACGTCTATATCTAACACTTCTAGAGATAACTGTAACTATTTATGTTGGTATTTAAGTTTCAATCAGGTAGAAAATGGTTTTCGTCTAGAGGCCTGTTAAATGCTTAGCATTTGATGCAAATCAGAAAGATAAAACATATATATATATATATATATATATATATATATATATATATATATATATATATATATATATATATATATATTGTTTATTTAAAGATTATAGCTTGCTTGTGTTATGTTACTCTACTTCACACGTTTTAGAAATAACGGTTTTTTCCATGAAAACTTTATTCCAACTTTACAAATCTTGTGTCGGATATATATATATATATATATATATATATATATATATATATATATATATATATATATATATACACACACACAAAACACACACACACATATATATATATATATGTGTGTGTGTGTTATATTTGGTATTCCTCTATTAAAAAAAAAAACACACACAGACACACACACACACACACACAAGATTTCCGTTGTTAAATAGGGGGAGATTAAAACTGGGTGCTAGATGTTTCTTTCATGGGGCTTGGAACAAACGCTACTACTATATAGGCAACATACAACTACCTCTTTAAAAGACGATCACGAAAACAAATTGGCAACACTTAATAAATGAAAATGGTTAGAGAAGTGGCCGAAAGCGTTTGCAACAACAGAGACTACAGACAATGTTACTTTCTTATTCCTACAAGTTGAAAATATATATATATATATATATATAATTATTTATTTTAAAAATTTATATATATATATATATATATATATTTATTTAAAAAAATTATTCCAACTCGCAGCTGCGAGTTGGAATCATATTTTTAAATAAATAATTATATTTATGCTCTACTTTTGTATCGAGCACTATTATAAAAGATTTTTAACTTAAAATACTAAGGAACTTTGGATTATTTACCTAACCAGTTCTTTCCTATACTATTTTCTGTATATTTTTACAAATATATATATATATATATATATATATATATATGCATATATATAGTTATGTGTAGAATGTCAGTTGAGAACATGATTAATTGCTATAATGTGTTTCATGTTTCATTGAGCACACACATACATATACAATTCATGTACATACATACATACATACATATATATATATATATATATATATATATATATGTATGTATGTATGTGCCTAGATGTACGTATATATATGTTTGTATGTGTGGGTGTATATATATATATATATATATATATATATATATATATATATATATATATATATATTTGAGCGTAGGGGTGTTGGTTATTGTGCTAAAAGGAGAAAAGACGGTAAAGTATTCATATCTATTCGTGTTAGACATTAGACGCACAGACTTTATTCGATATTGTGTGCAGTTAATAGTTCATCGATATATCAGTACCTCCGTGTTTATATGTATTAGTAGCTGCGTCTATAATACACGGCGTGTTTTGTAAAACTCGTACTTTTGTTATATTGAATTAGGATTTTGTTTGTCAGGGACGGCTAGCACTAAAAGTTTTTCTTTAATCGAAGCCGTCCTTTGTCTGGCCAGTAATCGATATTCTCCAGCAACGTTTTTACCTGTTTTTTTCTTTCGCTATCTATATAATTTTTTTTTTTTTGAACAAGTCACAGACGCTTAAAAAGAGGAGGTGAAAAGAACAGGCAGGACAGCAGCAGCCGCAGTATCAAGGACAATGGTCAGAAGGACAGGAAAGAAGAAAAAGTAGAAAGAAAATGAAAACACTTCAAACGAATAAAATGCAAGCAAATGTTGATGACGAACATGGACATAATTAATTAAAGAAGAACCAAAAATTAACTTAATCACAAACAAAGCGGAAGTAGAAAAATAATGATGAAGAAAAGATAGAGAATACCGAGGAAGTAGAAGTCGTAATAGTAGTGGAAGTATTAGCAGTAGCAATATCAGAAAAAGAAGGAACCATAACAACAAACAGAATAAAATGTGTCAGTATTAGAAGAAAAAGAAAGTAGAATAGACGAAGAGAAATGGTGTCGGAAAAAATTGTAAGACGAAGAAGAAGAAGAAGAAGAAGAAGAAGAAGAAGAAGAAGAAGAAGAAGACATTTCTATGGCAAATAATGAGGACATTGGTCCTGGATAATTTGACTCTAAGATGACAAGAGAGAAAAAGAAAAGTAGCGAATAATGTACTTAATGTGAGACCGCACAAAGAAGAAGAAGAGGAAGAGGAATAGGAAAAGAAGAAGAGGAAGAGGAATAGGAAAAGAAGAAGAAGAAATAAAATAGAAGGACACAGGAAGCAGAGAGAAAGAAGAAGAACCAACAGAAGAAAAAAAGCAGCAGCAGCAGCAGCAGCAGAAGAAGAAGAAGAAGAAGAAGAAGGAGAAGAAGAAGAAGGAGAAGAAGAAGAAGAAATAGGACGGGAAGAAGAAATAAATCCAAGTAAATTGAGAGAACTGAAATGAGAGAGAAAGAAAGAGAAATAGAAGATGATGATGAAGAAGAAGAAGGCAAAAAAAAGGAGTAGTAGAGGAGGAAAAGAAAAAGAAAAAAACTAGAGTACACTGAGAGCACTGGATTAGAGAGAAAGTAGAAGAACAAACAGAACAAGAACAATTGCAACGAGAAGGAAAGCAACAGCAACAAGAAGAACAAAGAGAAGAAGAAGAAGAAGAAGAAGAAGAAGAAGAAGAAATCGGAGCCGGAAAAGGAGAAGTAGGAGAAAAAAGAGAAAAGACCAAAATAATAATAAGAAGAATAGAAGAAGAAGAAGAAGAAGACGAGACCGAAATAAGAAGAAGAAGAAGAAGAAGAAGAAGAAGAAGAAGAAATAAAGACCAGACGACGTTGCTTGACTTCTATGATTTTAAGAGAACTGCTTATTCAACTTATATGTAAGATTTTTCGAGATCACACTGATTTATTGATACATAACCTACTAATTGATAAAGTTCATTTATAGCTTATTATGAGTAAATATTGCCGATCAGACCGGTCTTTCAACCTGATATGGACATAGTCTCCCCTTGATAAAAAGAAAATCAAAGAGAATTGAATACTTGAGCAATCTTCAGTTGTCGATTATCATTATTATTATTCTCCTCTTCCCCTCCTCAACTTCTACTTCTTCTCTTCTTCTTCTTCTTCTTCTTCTTCTTTTCTTACCGTCGTGGCGTTAATTGGTATTTTTCTCTGTCCTTCTTGCTTTCAATATGCAATGACAGTTTCAAATTCTCCAGGAACTAAATCCTGATTATGTGTCATAGAAATTATAACTGTCTCTTTCTGATGTAAAATACATGTTTCACTTTTGTTTCCAATAAAACTTCGACATTGCTTACATGTTTATTCTATGGTATCCTTAACATCTTTCTCTAGAACCACATTTCTTTTGTCTGAAGTTTCCTCTGCATCTATAAAGTCTCTTTTTCATCTGTAACTTTGCAATCACCATCATGTAGGAGGTCTTGTATTAAATAACAGTTAAGTCTTATTTTCTTTGTTTCTAAATAAATTTTCCTCTTTCTTAACATTTTGCTTAGTCATTGGGAATCAGTTTCACTATACTAAAGCACATTCGGATTTCAATGAGGCATTATTCGTCCTCTATTAAAACACTACCTAGATATTTAAATCGTTCTACCTGCATAATGTTGTTAACCCCGATTTGTAATTAGCATGCAAGATTCTCCGTTTTGCTACCAGCCATATATTCTGTCTTCTTAAAAATGTTTAATCCTAACTTTCCACTCTCCTTTACTGCGTTCTGTAGGTCTTCCTAAAGTTCCTGTGTTGTATATGCCCTCATTCTGGAGAGGTTTTGGTTGAAGGGGTCAATTCCACAACAAAGAAACATTATTCTCTCTCGGCCGTCTTCTCCTGGCTTGGTTTCGAAATATTTTCGGAGTCCGGGGATGAAAAGACATTAACAAATGTGATTGTAAATCTTACAAATTTATTAACCACGTCGACAGGTATATGCAATCAAGTGGAGGTTACTACATACCGTATTAGGGAGACACTTTCAAACACGAAAATTTCATACGTCCATTTTCTTTGACGTCAAACATCCAAGTCACGAAAGACCCTTTCCACTGAGAGAAGGCTTGCAAAAATCTAATCTGTCTAGATAGTTGGGGTCCAAATACCAACTCGCGGAAAACCTTAATCGGTAACCCATTCACACGTGCGGCTCAACCAAATATAATCAACAACTCTATTTTGTCTATCATCTGACCTTAAATGTCAGCCTGAGAAGTTATGAGCCAAAATGCACTGCCGCTAAAAAAATAATAGTCTCAACCTATTAGTTAATACTTGCAGTTACCTTTCTGCGTCTACTATCAATGCAGTGTCCTCTGCATTTCTAATGCTCTTAAGATTGTTGTCGTCAATGATGTATCATGGTAGAATTTCTAATTATCTCAGGATTGATTTATTG